AAAAAAAACACGATTGTGCCTAGTATGATATCTATACTGCGGATTTCATGCATTAATAGTAAAATTGAGTAGATAAAATGCAACAACAATAAAAACATTCGAAGAATGAAAAAAATGCTGTTGTATTAATTTTAAGTCGTTGAAATGATTGAGAGAAAAGAAATCGATGTCTATTTAGCTCCTGCATCTTGCAGTAAGTGCAATCTTTATTTTGCATAAAAATCCGCAATCTAATGATATCCATAAGTTGTTCAATGTTTCTGAATACGGGAAGATTCTCTGAATCCGAGATGAAATATTGGAGCATCCCGATGAAACTTCTCCGATGTTGCTGGAGAATCAAGGAGTGCGTTAAGGACTTCATACGCAAAGATAATATCACATCTTTTCCTGTTCCGCTCGAGTGTGGTTAAACTCAGAAAGGCGAGCATAGGGTTATAGTCGTGATCCGATATCAGCATGGGCTGATCGACGTGCCAAGATGCTATACGTTAGAATTTCTGCTGCACCATTTCTAACGCAGTGATGTATTTATTGCGATAGGATGCCCAAATTGCACAAGCATGCTCTCATAACGGCCTGACTAGAGAACAGTACAGAAGTCTAAGAGTGTGGGTATTCCGAAAGAGTTCAGCCACTTTGTAAATGAGTCCCAATGTTTTGCAGCCGCGGGATCTAACACTTTTGTAACGTTCAACAAACGTTAGATCGGAGGAAAAGATGATACCAAGGTCGCGTATTGTATCAACGCCGCTTGAGGTATAACCGCTAATAGTATAATTAGTCGATACTCGATAGATTATTCGTTCTACGGCCGAATCTTACGGTATAACATTTCTCCAGATTAAGCGACAATTTGTTTAAAGTACTCCAGTTCGAAGGTCTGACGAAATGATGTTGAAGCAAGGCATGCGCAGTCAGGCCTTTCAATGGCAAGAAATATTTTTACATCATCAGCATATGTGAGGAATTTACAAAAACGAAAGAGCTTTGCAGTGTAATTAACGCGAGAACTATCGAATCCTAAACGCGACTAATGCATATCGTTTTATAACAATGCTAAGACTGGATTTATTTAAACTTCGTGTGATTTATATTATAATATATTGTTAAATAAAGAAAAAAAAGTGTGTGTGTGTGTGTACTTAATAATTTCTCTTAAAAATATTTTTATACAAACAGGAACTTTAAAAGAAAAAGTCAGGAATCGGGTATTTTGACTGGTTTGGTAGTTCTAATGTTAATAAAACTAATAAAATGAAGAGGATATTTATAAACATGCGTAAAGAAGAATGGCAGTGCTTGTCCCGAGGCTCCTTAAAATAATCTTTCGGAGAAACGGAAGGAAAAACGGTAAAAAAGCGCAGCAAAAATTAATGAAGCGGCTCCGAACGGGGATTATTTGGATTAATGAATTTTTTGCGCCGCGGCGCGGCGGTTCGGAGAACGGGAGAGCTTCCATCGAGAAGGGCAACCTGTTTCGCTTCCAACCGCTACTCTTCTCACGCTATGCTTATCTTGAAGTCGAGGAATTTTCTTGAAGGATTATTTATAGTTTCTGTCGGGGTGCGCGGAAGAGAGAGGTGGGCTCCCCGTCACTTTCTACTTCGGAGAGCCGCGTCCTATCCTAGTCAACTGTCCCTAATGACTGCTAAATACGTCATAGCGCGTGATTAATATTCTGGAACGACCCTCGACGCGGCGCAGGCGAACAAAGGGAACGGGGAAAAAAACGAGAAGAGGATGCATTACCCCCTGTTATCGTTCGTCCTTCCTCGTTGTTATCTGCCCGTATCGTTTAACATATTTCGGTAGCCGAAGCTTTCCGCGCGGTTCCTACCTGGTTGCGTTCGTCGCGGGTGCCTCCTGGATCGCGAGGATCGAGTGCGCCGAGCCAATCGAAATCGCAAAACAAGTACATATACATATTTTCACACTCTGATTGTGCCAAGTTGACCGGCCGTTGTATCTGCAACTGTTTTGAATAACAATTTCCGTTCCGGTTCGAGCGGATCGGAATAAATGCGTCGCCGCGCCATGTCGCGCCGCAGCCGAGGAAAAAATGCTTGGCGAACATGCGTCACGAATCGTGTTGGGGGAGGGGAGCGAGGGGGCTGCTTCGTAAAAGACTGAAACTAGTTTCGCGTTGATTCGATACAATTAATCCCGGGACACGATCGAGACCGGGCGCTGATCATCGGTGAAGAAGAAAACAAAAGTCTCGTGGTCCTGCGGATCCCAATAAGTTTATTTGTCGTTTATAAATAGCGGCACGCCGGACCGTGTCGGCGCGCCAAATCGAAAACGAAATGGGGACTTACGAGACTATTCGCGTCGTTCGACAATCGTCAACGGAGCTCCTCGCGAGCCCCGGTCGCGTTATCTCCCGAAGAAGAAGAGACGGACGAACACCTGCGCGGCCGTACAATAACGCTGTATCGCTATATCCACGGAGACAAACAGGAAGAACAAAACGCCGTCGACGTTTTTCAAGCCTCGGCTCGTGCTCGTTAAGTCGCCGAGCTTATTACACGGCGCTATCCTTATTACCGAGCTACCATCCGCGCGAACGAAAGACAAACAAGACACCGAGGACCCTTGCGCGCCCTACACACTGCACACCTCTCCGGCTGCATTATATAAAAAAGAAAAAAAAGGAACACGGCGCACCGATGGTCGAGCTGCGCGCTTCGCTCTATAAGTGTACACAATGCTCTCCGTTGACGCGTCGCTGTCGAATCGCCACCCTCGCGACTCTCGATTCTTTTTTCCCTCTCTCTCTCTCTCTCTCGCTCTCGCACACACACACTGCTTCTCTCTTCCTCCCGCGCGCAAACTTGCTCACACGCACGCACGCACACAGTCCCATTCTCGCGTCCATTCAGAGACACTCGAAACTAACCAGCTTTCTTAGCAACATCGACAAAGAGTTCGTCGTCGGATCGATCCTTGTGGGTGGGCCCCGCGTCGAGTCCCCCCGGTTTCACACGGAACGCACGCGAATCGTCACCGTCTCTCGATTAATTACCTTAATTGCGACGAACGTTACAAATGTCTCAGCCGGTACGTGGCCCGGCCGAGCCGATCCCGGCAGCCCGGCAGGCAGCCCGGTACACCGGTACCCCAGAAACATTTGCAAAGCGTCGATCTCCGATCGATCCTCGAAACGCTGAAGAACCCCGTCGTCGACCTTCGTTGTCTCGCCCTTAAAACACGGAGCCTGATGCAACGTCTCTGTCTGATCACCGGAGAAACGGCTGGAGTTACATTAACAGCGGACTTCGAGCGTTTCTCGAGTTGCACGCGCGAACGCGAATTGCTCCCCGATTTTTCTGCAGTTCTCGAAACGCGCTCGCGCACACACACACACGCGCGCGCGCGCGTATTTGACGAACAAGATCTAAAGCGGATCCACCGTGTTTTGAGGATCGAGGATCGAATCGCGCTTAAAACGAAAGCTCGTTACTATCTACAGATCGATGAAAAGAAAGTTCCGTACTCGAATGAGCCGCCGAACATGTTCGAGCGTAAACTATACGCGTAACACTACGATCTATACAGAAATAAGAAAGATGTTTTGGGAAGCTCTTCCTACGACATCGAGTAAACACCTGGAAATCTCTCGTTAAAGATTCGTTTAAAATCATCGATATACGGTCGCTACCACCGGATTATTCCGAAACGTGGAGCGTGCTCACGCCATTTTCAAATTATCACGTTCGCAAGATCGTCGCTTACACTACGGATTATATTAAAATTTTCTTTTCCCTGTGGTCCAGTTTACCCCACCGCTTCGGACACGATTCGAGTTCCGTTTCTGACTAAGGACTGCAACTGTTGCGCCGCTCCCTGAAACCAAAATCCAAATGCAATACAAACAAAGTGATTTCTTGATCCGCGACTTCCTTCACCGTTTCCAGGACGGCGGCGATATAGGGGGTGTTCTCAAAATGTCTTGCAATGCGGAGACAAGGGTTCCTGAGGTTATTTGAAGTAAACTTTTCCTTAGCGAAAATGCAATCCGCGGCTTCGTTTACGAGTTATTAAAGAAAAACACTGACCAATGAGAGGCAAGCTCGACTGGCGCGGAACTAGGCTTCGTGCGCTCATTGGCTCGGCCGTCTCGCGCCAGCTGATCTCGCCTCTCATTGGTCAGCGTTTTTCGCTAATAACTCGTGAACAAAGCCGCGGATTGCATTTTCGCTAGGGAAACAGTTACTTCAAATCACCTCAGAAACGCCTCATTTCTGAATTGCGAGACAGTCTTGGGATACCCTGTATAGTAATCTCCATTAATATTCGGACACATTTTAAAATGGAATGACTTGTTTTGAACCCAAATAAATGACTTTAATTTTTTTTAGACGATAGAAGAACCGGTCTACTAGACCACAACTTGAATGACAAAAGAAAAGTAAAAATACTCTTAGTTCTTAACTTTTTTATCTGAGCCTGTAACAAAAATTTTAAAAAACTACGTCAAAATCGTTTGATCTTGGTATGAGCTGTAAACAATTAAGAATCGCAAAAATCGCAGCTTTATCCCGATTTTTTAGACTTTCGTCGACCAATAACCGTGAGAAATTTGCAGTTTTTAAATCTTTCAACGCTTGCAAGTAACTTGACTTTGCGTCAATCGATTTCGATGAAATTTTCAACATGCATATATGTATAACTTACCGAGACCCACGAAACGCATTTTTTTTTCTTTAATTCTCGTTACAAGCTTGGATAAAAAAGCTAAAATACGAGAGTTTTTCATTTGGCTTCGTCACACCAAGCGATAAAAAGATTGTCACAAAGTACTAGTTTCAGTCATTGTCTAGTATCCCAGTCCCTTTATAAAAAAAAATTCAAATCGTTTAGTCCAGTTCTAAAAAAGAAGCTATCGCGTTTTAAAAGGTGCCCGAATATTGATGGGAGTCACACTGTATTTGCTGATCGTTCGAATTTACCAACGAGAAGATCGAGACTGCTCGGTAGTACGAAAGCGAGCCGTCGAACGCGACGAAAGTTCAGCGAGAAAATAAATTCACCGAGGCGACCCTCCTCGACGAGACGATCGAAGGTAGCGCCTGGACGCGTTCCCGCGTCAGTTTCGCGGAAGATCGGCGCGATTAGGCGGCGTTTATCGCATTGTATTGGCAACGCTGTCGTAACACCTTGTCTCCCGGTTACGCCTCGATTACCGTGTCAGCGCACGGCCGAGTGGCATCGTAACGAGCATGAATGAGCAATACAGGGTTCCCCGGAAAGAATCATCCGATTTCAAAAATTTATATTTTAAAAAATTACACACAGAAAATTATAATTCAAACACGAATATAACGGGAAAATGTGCGAGTTTTACTTTTTATTATTTTTTTCTCATGTACCAAACCGTTGGATTGGTCGCAGTTCATCCGATAATATGGTTCTACACAATTGGCCTCCGAGATCACCCGACCTAACCCCATGCGACTTCTTCCTTTGGGGATTTGTGAAGGATCTTGTCTTTGTACCACCTTTACCTACAAGTGTAAATGAACTGAAAAAACGCATTTGTGATGCTGTACAAACAATTACCAGAGATACATTACACCGTGTTTGGCAAGAACTTTCATATCGCAATGATATCATACGTGTAACGAAAGGAAGTCATATTGAACACTTGTAAACAAAAACTCACACATTTTCCCGTTATATTCGTGTTCGAATTATAATTTTCTGTGTGTAATTTTTTAAAATATAAATTTTTGAAATCGGATGATTCTTTCCGGGGAACCCTGTACGGTAACTTACACTTATCGCGGCACCAAGAAGCTGACTGAACGCTCTAGTAGCGCCGAATAACGCGCCGCTTCCAGAATCATCGCCGCCGGACGACTGCGCCGGGGTACCGTAATTCGAGAAGGAACTGAAGAGGGGGGGCGGGTACGTCGAGCTCGGCGACCACGTTGTCGTGCGTATCCTCGGTCTCGGGCTCGGTGTCACCGTCTTTTTCGTGGTGTCCGTAGGTCGAGTTGCAGTTGTTGCGGACGACGTTCCAGTCGACGCCTGCCCCGTCGTAACCGTAACTGTCGTTGACACGGCAGTTGGGGATGCGGTCGGGGCTAAGCCGACGCCCTCGCCGACGCTCTGTCACGTTACAAGACGAGCAATTATTTTCTTTCGGGCGCGATCAAGATCCCGGGCATGGCTTAACGAAGTCGGCGATATATATCTACAGTGGCGTGCAAAATCTAAGGTGACCTTGAATATTCTTATGTAAACCAGAAACTTTGTATTACATAATTCTTTAAATTTAGAGCGTTAGTTCTTAAACCATTCGCAAAATCCCGGCATGAGCTACGAAATACTTTCGACGCAATTAACCTCTGACAAGTTTAGATCTATTGTAATCTTTATAATAGAGTGTAACAGATATAATGGACATATCGCGAATGCACAATTCGCATCAAATGCAGCAATTCGATCGTTTAACGTTTTCGCTGTTGCAGACGTATATTTACGATATGTTCGTTATATCTGTTATGATCTGTATAATAGAGTATAATAGACATAACGGACATGTCGTAAACGTATCTGCATAGAATCGTTTTGTAAAATTGTCATCCGACGATCTATTGGGTTGGCAAGAAAGTAATTTCGGTTTGCACCAATAGATAGCGTCACGTTTGCATTGTCGTTCTTTTGTTAAGGTTATAATTTTGTTGTCTTCAGCTTTGGTAGTTGACACGTTTAGGTTACTATAGAAACAAATTCCGTGTAGTTTTGTTTACAACCGATAGTTTGCTGTCAATTTTAATATGCGGAGTGCAAAAATGAACATTTTCAACATATTTTACTTTTTTATTTTCAGAATGGCAAGAAGGTGGCCGAGACTCACAAAAGAGATCTGTGAATTTCGTTCTGAAGATTTTTCACTTAAAGATGGTCAACGTTCGTGATAATAATAGAATCGAGAATTCGAGATAATCATTGAATCGAATCGCCATATAACTACGAGAGATTGCAAAAAGGTTAAATGTATCACACGCAACAATTGAATATCACATAAGACGTCTAGGACTTGTTAAGAAGCTCGATGTTTGGATTCCGCATGAATTTGAAAGACATTTATTTAACACGACGAATCAGTATTTGCGATACGCATTTTAAACGTAATGCAATCGACCAATTTTTGTATTATCACTGGTGATGAAAAATGAATCGTTTACAATAACATTAATCGAAAAAGGACATGGTCCTAGAGTGATGATCCAGCACAAACCATATCGAAAGCTGAATTGCATCAGAAAAAAGATCATGCTGTTAATTTGGTGGGACTATAAAGATATTGTGTATCTTGAGCTGCTTCCAAGCAACCAAACGATCAACTCAGGTAATTACTGGCAACAACTTATGAAATTGGAGGAAGCAATCAAAGTGAAAAGGTCAGAACTAACAAATCGCAAAGGAATCGTGTTCCACCACGTCGATGCGAGGCCTCATACATCTTTAGCAACACGTATAAAATTATTGGAGCTTAATTGGGAAGTGATGTCACATCCTCCACATAGCCCTAACTTTGCAACAACGGATTATCATTTATTTCGAAGTTTACGAAACCTTTTAAATGGTAAAAATGTCAATAATAACAACAGCCTCAAATCGCACTCGATTGAGTTTTTTTACTGATAAGGATCAGAAGCATTATGAGCGCGGATTCATGAAGTTACCAGAAAGATGACAAAAGATCATCGAACAGAGTGGAAAATATTTGATCGATTAAAGTTCATTTCTTGTACAGAAAAAATTGAGTTTTATTTCAGATTCAAATACCGAAATTACTTTCCTGCCAAGAATTAGTTTCACTATGACTTGCAGAAACTTGACTTTATAGCACGTCGTACGCGGCTACGTTTACTCTGAAACGAAAATAGCATGAATCCTGAAAAATTGATTTTTCGCCCCCAAAAACGGATTCCTGTCTTTATTTAGCATTAGTGGGATCGATCGACCGATTGCTTCGGCGCTATAAATTCGAAGAATTCAAAAACCGATGCCGCGTTATTCGACGCGCTCCGATGCCATCCGATGGTATAGTAGACGATCTTTTGTTACCTCGCTCCGTTCCTGACGCTGCGCGCGCATTAAAATTGCTATTAATTTACCAATTCGGTGTAGCACAACCGCTCTACACCGGTTGCACGGTTTCAGCGGCCATCAATTTTGCCAGGAAGACGCGTGGGAGGCGGCTTCTAAGGGCGATTAACCGTTCGAAGCGATGGTACTCACGGCTAACAATAGTTGCTCTCTAATCTTGGTCGCAGGAGTCGACGGTTCTATGCCTTGGGCCTTCAACAGCGCCGCCAACAAGGCGGCGTTGCTGATTTCATTCGACGGCGCCGCGGTTGTCGTCGTGAAAGCTCGGCCGGTTAATATCGCCCTCAGGAACGATTCGTCGACCTGCTGCAGGCCCGATGGCTTCTTCGAGGCGCTGGCTTTGTTATCTGGAACAAGAGGAACGAACATTGGACACGGAACAACGAAGCGTCCAAGGCTCCGCGGTTCCTATTAACACTAGAACTACCGAGCCCTAATTGCATCTAACGTATTAGGTCGAGTCATGAATAATTTTCGTTTTCTCATCAGACATATATTTTGTTTTTTTTTAAATTTATTTTCTTGTTTCTTTTTTATTTTATTTTATTCATTCGGAACCCTTATCTATTTAATGAAAGCAGAAAGCCGTTTGTCCCGGTGACTCATAGTTGGTAGATACAAACAATAGCTTCTACCCAGCTACATCAGAAGTTGACATTATGATACTATATACCTGATATTATATAAAAACGTTCCCACGAGAAATTTTTAGATACTATTCTTTACTCAAACGTACGTTATAATAAAAATCGTACTTAAAAGTTTAAGTACATCGAATATTCTCGTTGCGCTATAAAACAGTATAGATGTAGTCACAAATAACTTTTAAGTACGATTTTTATTATAACGTACGCTTGAGTAAAGAATAGTATCTAAAAATTTCTCGTGGAAAAAAATCGTTTTTATAATATCAGGAATTGTGAAAGAAAAAATCGGGGACCGGTCAGTTCGACTGATTTGGTAGTTTCGGTGCTAACATTAGCTTTTGTTCTTTGTTGTGAAAAACGGTTGTTCACCTGAGTGTATGTAAATAAATAATTACGTAAATAAATATCAATCTTAAAGAGGCGGGCTTGAAAACAGGTGAAAGAAAATTCATTCGCGATTCCGCAGAAACAAAAATAGACTACTTGCCGTTCTGAACAGCGCGCAGCAGCTCGGCCAAGAACTTGGCATCCTCTTCGGGCGAGAACGTGGACGTCTCAGCCTTGGCGGGTCTCGGTTTCGGATTGGTTACCGGCGACTGCTTGCTAGGGGACATCGGGCCGGGTGTGGTCGCCGATTTCGCCTGCTTTGCGATCGAATTGGGCGTGCTCGCTACGACCTGCGAAATGTCCACGCTCCTGAACGTCGCGGGGACCGACGCCTGGGTGACCTGAGGCTTCCGCGTGGTTGTTACCGGCCTCGGGGTGATGCTGACCGAGGCCGACTGCGCGGGTTCTGCGGGGGTTGCCGGTTTCGGTTTCGACGGTCTGGGAGTGGTAGTCGGTCCGAACAGTCCACCGCCGAACAGCGCTTGCCACAAACTCGCACCAAGGCCCACGGCCGGCTGGGTAGTGGTCCTAGGTCGCTGAGTGGTCGACGTCTTTGCCGCGACGGCCACCGGAGCCTTCGTCGTGCTTATCGAACTCGGCGACGATACGATTGCTTCTGAACCAACCCTCCCGGTCGTCGAGGAAATCGGTCGTCCCGTTGTTCGATCCACCAAATTGTTGGTCACCGGCGGCACGTCCCTCAGGGGTTGTTGCGGCGTTGTCAGTGGCCTCCGCGTCGGCGTCGTTGCCGTCGATGACGGCAGCAAGTCGATCACTATCGGGCCCGAGGACGGTTTCGCGAAAGATCCGATCGAATTCGGTGACGCGTTCTCGGCGATGATTGCCTTCGGAGCTCTGGTGGGTCCCGGATTATTATTGCTCAGCGCCAGCGACAGGATCTAGAATTAAAGTAGCAAGTATTTTTGATTCATGAAAAGATCGATCGATCTATTGCGCGAGATACTGTTCGAACGTTTGCACTTCTTTCCATCGTACAGTGGTTTCCATATAAACACACAGTTTCCATGGAAAAAGCGGAAGAAAGTCAGTTTTAAGAAATATCCCTGTAATGCAGCATCATTTATTCACTGGTAGTGTATTAAACATACGGATTATTATTTACTATGATCTTTTTTACCATTTGTTTATTTTGAACACGGCTACATGGCTTCGAACTAGGCCATCTTCAAATCATCCTAAATTTATATCATCGTTTAAAATTATTTTGGGCTTTGAAAATAAATCATTTTTACAGAATTTAATATACTTAGTATGTACTTCAATTATATCACAGGACACTTTTTTATCGCTCATATTTTTGAGTTATGTGCAATTTTCATTTCATTTTTCAAATATCAGTTCGGTGGAGTTCAATGTCTCCTGGTGAGAAACAATAGTAACGAATTAATTTAAGAAAACGAAGCAAGCGCCTTGACAACTTTAAATTGAACGTACATTGAATAAGTATGAGTCACATAATTAATATTTTAGTTCATTTCCTTGAAAAGTACAGTGAACAAAGAAAACGATGCTGGGAAAAAAGTGTTCGGCCAAGCAAGATCCTGGGCAAACGTATTTGACCATTCAGGTTTGCATAGAGGCGAAGAATAATTTACTTTATATTATATAATCTATTTAAATTAATTTAATTTATATCATATAATTCAATATTTTAGGACGGTTCTACGAGTGTATATGACTGTTTCAACGAGTGCTGATGCTGATTTCATAAAATTTTCCAAAAACTTCGAAGTTTACGTTTATTTGTTATAGCTTGCCTACCATCTTCAGGGTAAATAATTATGCATTTCGAACTCATCAGGACATATATCATACAAAAATTTCACTGCCATAGTCAATGCCAAAAGAAGATAAAAACGGCGAAGCAATGCATTCAAAACAAAAAAAAATTCGAAAAGTTTCATCATTAAAACGGAAAATTGTATAAAACATCGGCACTCGTTAAAATAGTAATATACATTCGTAAAGCCGTCCTAAAATATTACATACTACGAATGTAAAGCAAATTACTTCTGGTCAAAAAATTATTATTAAATACTTATTACCAGGGGTTGTATTGGGTTGGCAACTAAGTAATTGCCGATTTCAGTTATAAATGTCTCTCACTCCCATTTTTATGATATCCGTAAATGTTATATTATAAAATTATTATTATTATTATTATTATTATTATTATGTTATTTTTTATTATCCGTGAATGTTAGCAACTGAACAAATTGAATGCAGCGGTCAAGGAAAAGCGACCGGAATTGGTCAATCATAAAGGTGTCATTTTCCACAATGCTAGGCCGCACACGTCTTTCTCCACTCGGCAAAAATTTATGGATATTCGTTGGAAATTGATGTTACACCCACCATATAGCCCTGATCTCGCGCCATCGGATTACCACTTATTTCGATCCCTGGACAACTCCCTTCGTGGTAAAACTTTTAACGATGACGACGCTGTAAAATCTCACTTAACTCAGTTTTTGGCCGAAAAGGATCAGACTTTCTACGAGCGTGGAATTTTCAAGCTGTCAGAGAGATGGCAAAAGGTCATCGAACAAAATGGAAAATACATTACAGATTAAACTTTGTTCCAAGTACAAAAAATTTGTTATTTCATTGAACAAATCGGCAATTACTTAGTTGCCGACCCAATATATGCATGTCTGTTTCGTGGATGGTGCTCGAGGAGCTATCAACGACGGGAAGATCGTCGGGACACTTTCACGAATACGAAGAAAGAGAAAGTGAAAGAGAAAAGGAAAGAGGAAGAGAGGGATAGAGAGACGCGGACGGGCGCGTATCGTTGCTGCATCGACGTTACGCAAACGAAGTTCTATGAACGTAAGCGTCGGCGAAAGATGACGAATCAGGCAGCCGTTGCGTAGAACACAGAAGGCCGTCGGCAAGGTTGTTCCAGTCCATTCACCGTGACTGGCCGATCGCGCGATCCCCGAACGTCGTAGATCCGTTATTATGTCTTTGAAAAAAGGGCGTGACTAAAGGTAACGCGCCGAATTTTTTTGCCCGCGTAACCGATACCCTCGCCGGCTTTTCCGTGGAGCCGCGCGGCGAACGAAACGGAGAAACGAGTCGGTGGATGTACGTCATTGGATCTTGTTACACTACTAACACACCGACTCCGAGAACGGTCGATTGCACGATCCTATCGAGCGGTGAAAGGGCCGGCTCCGCGACGATCGAGCCGATTCGCTGTCTCTGATTTCCGCGACGCGGAACAACAATCGCATCGATCGTCGCGATGATCTTTCTATCCGACGTTAATTATCGCGTATAGAACACGGGCCTGGCGAGCCCCCCCCTCCCCCGATTACGAAATTGTTCAAAGCGAATTACAAAATCGTTATTAAGCATTGTTATTTAATCGCCGGCTTACCTTGTTCGCCAACAGCTGCTCGACTTGCGTAAGAGTCTTCGGGGTGGTGCTGGCTCTGGTGTTGCTCTGCAGCTGCGTGAATCATAGCAACGTGTCATCGATGGCAAATGTAGAGCCCGTTTTTCCGGTTCGATTAAACTTAAGGTGGTATTTTCTAGTGTGAACTTTCGAACAAAATCAATTTGTTTTCTTTTCTGCGTACTCCCAATGGATTATGGTTTCAGACATACATCTCCGGAACCTTACACGCGAACTACTAAAATTAACGAAGTTATGGTTGTTTGAAGAACGCGACAAGCTTATATTATTATCGATATACAGGATGTCCCAAAATTATGATACTTACGGGAAATAAGGGGTACCTGAGGTCATTTTAAGTAACATTTTCCTTAGTACAAATGAAATCCGCCGTTTTGTTTACGAGTTATTAACGAAATACAGTGACCAATGAGAGGCGAGATCAGCTGGCGCGAGACGGCTGATCCAATTGAGCGGAACTGGACTTCGCTCGCTGGCTTGGCCGCCTCGCGCCAGTCGAGCTGGCCTCTCATTGGTCAGTGTTTTACATTAGTAACTCGTAAACAAAGCCGCGGATTGCATTTTCGCTAAGGAAAAAGTTACTTCGAATAATCTCAGGAACTCCCCATTTTCTGGAAGGATCATAATTTTGGGACATCCTGTACAGTAAATTCTCCCTAATTGTCCCTCAGCTTGGAAATAAAAATGGACAAGCCACTCATAATGCGGCTCACTGTTTTTATAGTTGTCTATTTTAAAATTGCCCATTTTTGTGTACAAGCTGAGGGTCAATCAGGGAGAATTTACTGTACCAAGCTTTAAAGGCATTTTTCTCGAAACTATGTTTTCCAGAACGCTGCCCATGATATCTGAAAAACAACTTGACCAATTGACTCAAAATTTTACGTACGTATTTAGTACATGCATAACTACAACCATTACTAGAATCAACTAAAAATGTTTATTTTTCTATTTTCTAGGCCTCCGAAGTTTATAACAAAACGTGGAAAAATCGATAATCGAATTTCAAAGTATCGCCACTTTTTTAATTATCGACATTTTTCTTCTGTTCCAGTACCTGTTACAGTCAAACTCATACTAATTAAGGAACATTCACGTTTTCTTATATCAGACAAGCTGAATAACCGGGATCATGGACACAGTGAGACGATCTTTTTTAAAAGCGACTATCTTTGAGATCATACAGTACCACTAGTTCTAACTTTTTCTGTGTGATCAAAATTTTGAAACGTCCTTGAAACACGTACAAATATACCTTGTCAATTTGACTGGAAGAGGTGTAACAGTACCTACGCAAAAAATTCCCTAACAACGTTAAACAAAAACGCGCACTTCACGTAAGAATACCCCCTTAACACGTTCCGTGCCACGTGTACCATCGATGGTACACGCTTGCATGTTTACTTAGTGAACTGAACAAATTGTTTACAAGAAATTTAGAACCGAAGAATCAATTTCCACCGCAAGAATGGGCGTTGATAAGTTTTTGTTACGTTGTTATGTGTACGAGAATTAATAATTGCACGTAATACATCAAGTTTTAGTAAAATATCAAAGTGTGAAGATTCATGTAAAAAAAGCTCGGCACGGAACGTGTTAAAGAACAAATTCCTCGTCGGCGGTTGGTCACTCACCAGCGAATTCAGGAAGGCCAGGTCGTCGAACGTCGAGCCGAACGCGTTCTGCTGCATGTTCGGCAACAAGTTGCTCCGCAGGTTGAACGGAGGCGTCACGAAATTCGGCTGTTGCGCGGGTGTGACGGTAGGGGAAGGTGTGACCGTCACCCAAGGCGCGGGATTAGTTGCTGGCTGCGGCGTGGTAGTGACCGGTGGTCTCGTCGTTGCTGGAGCCATCGTAGTCGTTGTCGAAGTTGTCGTCGTTGTTGTTGTGGTGGTGGTCGAAGTTGTTGTTGTGGTTGGCACCGTTGTTGTTGTGGTCGGCGCCGTTGTGGTCGTAGGAGCGGTTGTAGTGGGAGCCGGCGTCGTTGTGGCAACAGTTCCGGTCGGCATCGCTGCCGTTGTCGACGGTCTGGCCGTTGGCCGAGCGGAGGACACAAAGTTTGCGATCGCGCTGGTAAACGGCGTGAAGATTTCGACGAATGGATTGACGGGCTGCGCGGCCGGCGTGTCCGCCGAGTCATCCTGAAAGGTCGAAAGTCTCAGTTGCAACTCGGAAAGCACGAGTCGACCGTGTGGAAGTTTTTGATTCGATGATCGAAGAAACTACTGACCAGCGTGTTGGAAGCGACGGAAGCCGTGATCACCGGCGAGGAGGTCGTGATCCCGAAAATCTGATCCAGTGGATCCCTCCATGGGAATCCGGGAGGAGCCGTCACTCGTCCGTTGGGTTCGTTGCTCAAGAGATTGTTGAACGACGGCACGGGCGGCGACGGATCTCGACCTTGATTCGTTGCAGTCTGAATCGAACGAATGTTTTTCGTGTTTATGATCCATTAACTTCTCTTTCCTTTGCAATCGCAATCGATTCTCTGTCGGAACTTCGAGGACACTGATCTTCGACGATTAACCCTTTCGGTACGAGCGCCGGATATATCCGGCATCCATCCGATGACCAATATGGACGAGTGCCGAATACATCTGGCATCCATGTAAGCCATATTTCTGTAGGCCCTTTACAGAATGTTTACAGGAAACATTTAAAGAAAAATTTAGAAACGGATTAGGCACAGTCGTTACTTAACGCTTAAGAAAATCTTCGTGCAAAAGTGGACCGACCCTGCGTTATGTGCGCATTTTCGGCGCGGCACCCCGTACAGTGGGAGTGTCACGGCGGACAACGCGCTCGTACCGTAAGGGTTAACGCTAAATTTACCACGCCGTACCGTTCTCGAATCGTTCGGATTACGAGGATTCTTTCATAGGAGATGATCGAGAAAATTTCTTTGTGAAAACGTACACTCGGTGTACGAAGTGCGGTAAATTCTCTCCAATTGTCCCTCGGCGTGTGAACAAAAACGGACAATTTGGGAAGAGGGGATACGAATATCCGAGCCTCGCGGCTCGTTTCTTTAGTCGCCGATTGTCAACAAGTATAAAAACGAGCCGCGTCCATTTTTGTTTACAAGCTGAGGGACAATTGGAGAGAATTTACACTATTCGTGCACTTTTTGAAACGGAATACAGTAAATTCTCTCTAATTGACGCTCAGATTGTGCACAAAAATGAACAATCTGAGAAGAGGAGATACGATTATTCGAGCCTTGGCAATTATAAAAATGTGGCGCGAAGCTTGAACAATCGTATCTCCTTTTCCTAAATTGTCCATTTTTGTGTACAATCTGTGCGTCCATTAGAGAGAATTTACTGTAACTATTTTATAATTGGGTCGAACGATCGAAATCTCTTTAGGATGTTAAAGGGATTTACTAGGTAATGTGGCTAAAAATAGTTTTAAAAAATTGCAGTTGGCATGAGAAAAGAATTTAAAAAATTATGTTTCCTCAACCTTTTTATCCGAGTCTAGACCGAGAATTTAAAAAATGCAGTTTGTAGATCTCGACGAGTTATATGCATGTTGAACATTTCATCGAAATCGGTTTTTCATGAATTTCAATCAAAAACCAACAATTTTTGCATCTTAGCTCGACTATGCGCCAACCGATTTCATTGAAAGTTTCAGCATCGAAGCGAGTCTAGCTCCGCAGCCCAAACTAAAATATGTCCCAACTTCAACAGCTCCTCGCGGACTAAAAGAGAATTTAAATATATCTCCGGAACAAGGTCATCCTACAATCCATCCAAGTTCAGCCTATTACCGAATTTGTTAAAACACTTCGTCGCAAAACCGAGAAAGGAAACGCGTCACGTGAAAGGGTTAAAATCGACTATGGAACAAATGTTTGCCTCGATACGATTTCCGCGGAACGATGTATGGGAATGGAGATTTACTTACAGCTACCGAATTGATATTTACACTGACAACGCGCGGGTTCGTGGTGGAAGCCTCGTCGGTCCAATAGTTGACGAACTTATCCTGAAAGATAGCAGATTGTTCATTTGTTTATTAAATATGTACGGGAAGTTACCTGTTAATTATACAATTACAAGAAGGAAAGGTACAAAGGTTTAGAATGACTTGATACACAGTAAAAGAATAAAGAAAGGAAAATAAGGCAACGGGAATTCCTTAAATTAACCCTTTGCACTCGAATTTAATGTAGTTTTTCTGACCCACTGCATTTCCATCTTATATAACCTAATGCATTTTATACGTATGAAATTGAATTTTGTGACAGATTCAACAGTTATCCTTTCAACGGTTTTTCAAATATGAACAAATTTGATTAATAAAATTATTCTGAAACATGACATAACAATTTTTTGAGAGGTTCTCTGGATCAGATATGAAATATTGGAGCATTCCGATGAAATTTCACCGACATTGCTGGAGAATCAAGGAGTCCGTTAAGGACTTCATACGCAAAGATAATATCACATCTTTTCCTGTTCCGCTCGAGTGTGGTTAAACTCAGAAAGGCGAGCATAGGGTTATAGTCGTGATTCGATATCAGCATGGGCTGATCGACGTGCCAAGATGCTATACGTTAGAATTTCTGCTGCACCATTTCTAACGCAGTGATGTACTTATTGAGAAAAGGATGCCCAAATTGCACAAGCATGCTCTCATAACGGCCTGACTAGAGAACAGTACAGAGGTAAGTAATACGTCTTAAATTTTGTTTAAAAGAGTGTGGCGAACGATTGAAAAAAAACACGATTGTGCCTAGTATGATATCTATACTGCGGATTTCATGCATTAATAGTAAAATTGAGTAGATAAAATGCAACAACAATAAAAACATTCGAAGAATGAAAAAAATGCTGTTGTATTAATTTTAAGTCGTTGAAATGATTGAGAGAAAAGAAATCGATGTCTATTTAGCTCCTGCATCTTGCAGTAAGTGCAATCTTTATTTTGCATAAAAATCCGCAATCTAATGATATCCATAAGTTGTTCAATGTTTCTGAATACGGGAAGATTCTCTGAATCCGAGATGAAATATTGGAGCATCCCGATGAAACTTCTCCGATGTTGCTGGAGAATCAAGGAGTCCGTTAAGGACTTCATACGCAAAGATAATATCACATCTTTTCCTGTTCCGCTCGAGTGTGGTTAAACTCAGAAAGGCGAGCATAGGGTTATAGTCGTGATCCGATATCAGCATGGGCTGATCGACGTGCCAAGATGCTATACGTTAGAATTTCTGCTGCACCATTTCTAACGCAGTGATGTATTTATTGCGATAGGATGCCCAAATTGCACAAGCATGCTCTCATAACGGCCTGACTAGAGAACAGTACAGAAGTCTAAGAGTGTGGGTATTCCGAAAGAGTTCAGCCACTTTGTAAATGAGTCCCAATGTTTTGCAGCCGCGGGATCTAACACTTTTGTAACGTTCAACAAACGTTAGATCGGAGGAAAAAGATGATACCAAGGTCGCGTATTGTTTCAACGCCGCTTGAGGTATAACCGCTAATAGTATAATTAGTATCGAGATTATTCGTTCTACGGCCGAATCTTACGGTATAACATTTCTCCAGATTAAGCGACAATTTGTTTAAAGTACTCCAGTTCGGAGGTCTGACGAAATGATGTTGAAGCAAGGCATGCGCAGTCAGGTCTGTCAATGGCAAGATATATTTTTGGCAGATTGTCTCTCTTTCTCTCTGATTCGGTGATTCGCCGTGTCTTTTTGCTGGTTCTTTTCGAGAGATACGACGGAGCGCTGAAAGAATCAGCCACAACGTCGTTGTAAATCATGCTCTGTCTCTCTTGGTTTCTTACCTGTCCGATGTACACGGAGCTGCGTTGACCTCCGGCCTCTTTCGTCCTGGTGGCCTCGTCCCTCTCTCGATCTTGGACGATACGACCGCCCTGCGAATCGGTCGGCGGTCGACCGGTACTTACTATCGGCGTCAGCCGACCAGCATTCGCAGACATCGCGCCCGACGTTGTCCCCATTTGCGTATTCAATGGAGCATCGCTCTAAACAGTACGAAATCATTCGAATTCCTTTAATCCGATCAACATCATCCAGCAACTCCGTCTCGTACGGCCGCACGGTGAAAATTTGATCGTTTTTCTACCGAATTCTCTTCTCGACGGTCGGCGACGAAGCGATCGATCGGTGCCTTGAAATTTTTGGCAATTAAGAGAAACAAATTGCTGTTGGATTATTATTATTATTAATTAGGATGAACGGAAAGGCTGATAAATCCGCGAGAAATATCTTAAGAAACTCAGTCCTGAGAAATTGCTGGATGAAGCTCAGAATTGTTGCGTACATCGCCGATAGTACAGTTGTGGAAACGGTCCGCCGTCCGAGGATTAAATAGTGGGAAAACGTGGAACGATCGATCAAAGTTTCAGCGTGGTCGACGGGTCACGAGAGAGATCTGTCGTCGGGCCCGGAGCGCGGAGGTTGAACGACGAGGACGGATCGATGGAATCCTGTTTTCAAGAGTTTATCGAATACCACTTCTGTCGGCGCATAAACGTCGTGTTTCCTCTTCTATTTCGCTCGAATTACTCTACCAACACGTGTGACGAAACTCTACGAACGTGCATTCTCGTGTGCGTGGTGCGTGAAAAACACAATGCGTAAAAAATACTATTTACAGAGTTGAACTTATGTACAGTGAAAATATATACAGTCCGATTTACGACGAGGTCGAGTGGGCATTTGATAAATTCTTCTTAGGAGCGCGCGCGAAACAGAGACGTATAGACGAAACAAAAAAAAAAATAGAAAAGAAAGATGAAGATAGACGATCCGACAAACGTGTCGCGACAGTTTCTACAGAATTTCCACAAAAGACGATTAATTGTCGCGACACCGGAAAATTAGTTTATTACTCGACCAAAAAGTGCTACTTCAACGAAACCAAAGCGTTAAACAAGGTGCGAGTATTCCGCCGCGCCATTTCCAGCGCGAAACGTATCGATCAAAATAGGACGAATCGTTTTGAAAAATATCTGACAACGGGAGCTTGTGATGTCCCGTTTTTTCCAATCTTCGGCCTTTCGAAATTCCTTTCGAATTTCCAAAATCTCGACGGCTCCTATTCGCACGATCACGATGGCCGTTCGTCCTTTGTTTCGCTGCTTTCTGTCCCTTAGATTTACAGTAATTTTGTCCCTAATTCGCGCTCAGATTGCGCACAAAAATGGACAATTTGGAAAGAGCAGATTCGCTTTTTATAGTTACCGAATGTCAACAAATATAAAAACAAGACGCGAGTCTCGAATAATCGTATCTCCTCTTCTGAGATTGTCCATTTTTGTGCACAATCTGAGCGTCAATTAGAGAGAATTTACTGTATTCCGCCTGTCTCTTATACACATCTAGATGTGTATAAGAGACAGGCGGAATACAGTAAATTCTCTCTAATTGACGCTCAGATTGTGCACAAAAATGGACAATCTCAGAAGAGGAGATACGATTATTCGAGACTCGCGTCTTGTTTTTATATTTGTTGACATTCGGTAACTATAAAAAGCGAATCTGCTCTTTCCAAATTGTCCATTTTTGTGCGCAATCTGAGCGCAGATGTGTATAAGAGACAGGCGGAATACAGTAAATTCTCTCTAATTGACGCTCAGATTGTGCACAAAAATGGACAATCTCAGAAGAGGAGATACGATTATTCGAGACTCGCGTCTTGTTTTTATATTTGTTGACATTCGGTAACTATAAAAAGCGAATCTGCTCTTTCCAAATTGTCCATTTTTGTGCGCAATCTGAGCGCAGATGTGTATAAGAGACAGGCGGAATACAGTAAATTCTCTCTAATTGACGCTCAGATTGTGCACAAAAATGGACAATCTCAGAAGAGGAGATACGATTATTCGAGACTCGCGTCTTGTTTTTATATTTGTTGACATTCGGTAACTATAAAAAGCGAATCTGCTCTTTCCAAATTGTCCATTTTTGTGCGCAATCTGAGCGCAGATGTGTATAAGAGACAGGCGGAATACAGTAAATTCTCTCTAATTGACGCTCAGATTGTGCACAAAAATGGACAATCTCAGAAGAGGAGATACGATTATTCGAGACTCGCGTCTTGTTTTTATATTTGTTGACATTCGGTAACTATAAAAAGCGAATCTGCTCTTTCCAAATTGTCCATTTTTGTGCGCAATCTGAGCGCAGATGTGTATAAGAGACAGGCGGAATACAGTAAATTCTCTCTAATTGACGCTCAGATTGTGCACAAAAATGGACAATCTCAGAAGAGGAGATACGATTATTCGAGACTCGCGTCTTGTTTTTATATTTGTTGACATTCGGTAACTATAAAAAGCGAATCTGCTCTTTCCAAATTGTCCATTTTTGTGCGCAATCTGAGCGCAGATGTGTATAAGAGACAGGCGGAATACAGTAAATTCTCTCTAATTGACGCTCAGATTGTGCACAAAAATGGACAATCTCAGAAGAGGAGATACGATTATTCGAGACTCGCGTCTTGTTTTTATATTTGTTGACATTCGGTAACTATAAAAAGCGAATCTGCTCTTTCCAAATTGTCCATTTTTGTGCGCAATCTGAGCGCAGATGTGTATAAGAGACAGGCGGAATACAGTAAATTCTCTCTAATTGACGCTCAGATTGTGCACAAAAATGGACAATCTCAGAAGAGGAGATACGATTATTCGAGACTCGCGTCTTGTTTTTATATTTGTTGACATTCGGTAACTATAAAAAGCGAATCTGCTCTTTCCAAATTGTCCATTTTTGTGCGCAATCTGAGCGCAGATGTGTATAAGAGACAGGGAGATACGATTATTCGAGACTCGCGTCTTGTTTTTATATTTGTTGACATTCGGTAACTATAAAAAGCGAATCTGCTCTTTCCAAATTGTCCATTTTTGTGCGCAATCTGAGCGCAGATGTGTATAAGAGACAGAGTTTATATATATATATAGGTAAAAACATTTAATATTTATATGTATAGTAATACATATTATAATATAATATATTATATTATATTATATAGTATAGTATATATAGTACATATAGTATAGTTATACTATATAATATAATATGTAATATAATATATAATATAGTATAAATTATATATAAATAAATAAATAAATTGTACTCTATCCACGATAGATCCAATGGCGCCACCGAGCGAGAATTGCGTGACGCTCGGTGAAAAACTCTGTCGAAGCCCAATTGCTAATTACATCCGTTGAATGTTATCCGACAAAGTAAAAATCATGTCGAACGTTCGCAGCATCCTATTCTAGGAACTTCTCAGATAGAATCGTATGCGTGGAATCATCGTCGAGATATCGTCGTGGAAAGTGCTCGTGGTAAATAGCGAAGAGGAGCCGTCGATTAGCATACGCGTGGTTCGCGTTCACGCGGCAATGGCGCGGTCGAGAGAGAACCAAAGTGAGAACCGAGCAAAGAAACGGATTCGTTCGCGGAAACGATCTCTCGCGAACGGCTAACGATCGTTGATGAACAGGTGGAATAAGAGATACCATTTGGTCGACGGTCGGGACGCTAGCAGGGGTACCAAGTGGCCCCGTGAGATCGGGTCCACCTCCATTGGGGCCGACGATCGCGTTACCAGTAAGGCCAAGATCAACGGTGCCAGGGCTTCCGACGTTTCCCATCGGCTCGGGTCTACGGTTATTACTGTAGACCGGGCCTTGATACCGATTGTAAGCGCCTTGGTTAGCCTGGTTATAATACGGTCTGGGCGGTGGCCTGTTAGTGGTAGTGGTAGTGGAAGTGCTAAGTGAGAACACAACCTCGACCGGGTTCCTAGGTGGATCCGGTATAATCGTTCCGTTCGGGAATTTCCGGACCAGCCTGCCGTCCGGGAAGATACCGAATATCACGTACGGGCTGTCCACGTTCCTGGCGTCGATCAGGTTGTCTTCCGGCCGTTTCCGAACGATCGTTTTGTTCGGATAGATCCCGTAGATCAAGTAATCGCGGAGCGGAGCCCTGGTGGTCGAGCTCAGGCTGAAACGTGGCGCGGGCGTCAATCTGCTCGCGCCGAACCGTCCCAGATACGGCGCGGTCGGTCCGGCGGTCGTCGACCCTCCATCCGATGCGGCTATTCTAGCTCCGATAGGAACAGGAACAGGAACGGGAACAGAAACGCTGGCGTTTCCAGGTGCTGCACCCGGTACGTTCGTGGTCCCAGGCGGCGGGCTCGCGGTTCCAGGCGCGATCGTGGTGGTTCCCGGCGTGGCCTCGGTCGACACGAGGTTCTCGTTTACGTCGACGGTGGTCGTCGTCGTCTCGGTAACCGGCGTCACGGTGAAGACCTCCGTGCTCATCGTCGTCGTCGTCGTCGTCGTGGTCGTTATCGTGGTAGTCTGCGTACTAGATTCGGTCGACGTCGGTGTCTCGGTCGTGGTCGTCGGTGTCGCGGTCGTAACGGTGGAGGAGGATGAAGAAAGGGATCGAGAGGACGATGGCACTGCGGGTGTGGTCGTGGGGACGATCTCGGTCGTTTGGCCGATTCCCGAACCAGCCGTCCCTTGGGCGGTTGCCGATGTCGTATCCTGGAAACGGGCAACAGTTGGAGTTTCGTTGTCGAGGCTCGGGGTCGTTTGGGAGTCGACGTTTGTCGTTTGATCGGGCAAGTTAGCGGTGGCCTCCGTCGGGGCCATCGTGGTGGACGTTAGAGCGGACGTTTGTTGGTTAGTAGCGACCCCAGCGACATCCGTCGAATCAACATTCGGCGTTGTCGTCGGCGCGGCAGGCGGTACCACCGTGGTTTGCTCGACGGCGTTAGACTCGGAGGATGTCGACGGTGTACTGGTAACCGTATTTACACGGGAGAGGATGGATATGGGAACCGCAACCGTGGTAGCTGCTTCGGGCTGGTTAGTGCTAGCGTCCACACCAGGCTGAGTCGTCGGCGACTCGGTTAATGGTGCTACAGTTTCCGTGGGAGCTACTTCCGTGACCGGTCCGAGCGTCGTTTCGGTCTCCGTCGTCGCGATCGTGGCGGGCGTCGTAGGATCATCCGCGTTCGCGGTTGTCGCGACCGTCGCGTCCGAGGTTCGTGTAGCCGCAGTCTGTGTTGTTTGTGTCGTTGTGTCTGCCGCGAGCGACGGGGTGGTCGACGGTACGCCCTCGGCCGGAGCCTCTAACGTTTGGCTCGTCGGCACGGTTTCTACCTCGCTGTCGGGTGGGCTACTCTGCGGGGTAGTGGTCGCAGCCGAGTCCGAGGAACTCTCCGCGGGCATAGCGCTCGTAGATTCTACGGAATCCACTTCGTTCCGGGCGGGGTCAACGGTGGTCAACGGGGAAACGGTGGTTAATTCCGGCGCGGCGGCCGGCGTCACCGGCTCTGGGGTCACCGTCGCAACCTCCGGGGTTGTCGACGACGTTTCTGCGGCTTGGGTGGTAGTAGCGTCGCCGTTCGAGCTTTCGACGGACAGTCTGGTCTCGTTCATCTGTTCCGAGATTAGTGTCTTGGCGATGGACATTAATTCGGTTAGTAGCGTGTCAGAGGTGGAAACAACCACCTGGGTGGTTGTCTCCGGCATCGAGCCGGTCGGCTCCCTGGGATCGTCGAGGACGGTCGTTCGGGGGTCTTGTGTCGTCGTTGCCGGTGGATTTGCCGCGGTGACCGGATCGGTTTGATCCTGCGCTGCCTGGGTGGATACCACCGAGTCGGACCTGTCGGTCTCGGTCTCGGTCTCGGTCGCGGTCGTAGTCGCGGTCGCGGTCGCAGGCGACGGGGTTGTTACTGAACCTACTGCGCTCTGTGCAGCGTCTCGGTTGCTCGTCGACGACGCGTCCGGTTGCTCCGTGGTGGTGGCCTGGGTGGTCGTTTCCGAGTCCCTTTGGGCGGTGGTCGTCTCGGTCCCCCTCAGCTGCGCCAGAACCTCCAGAGTGCTCATCCGGCTGCCCGAGTCCAGAATCGCGTTCGATATATCCGGGATGGGGGTTATCGTGGTAGCCGCGTCTTGCGGAGGAACCGTGGTCGTGTTCAGGCTCGCCTGCAGGCGGGAGAGAATGTCCTGCGCGAAGTCTATCAATCTGTTTCGAACCGTGGACACCGCGATCGTCGCAGTGGTCGTCTCCGCGTCGATCAGATTGTTCGAGACCGCCTCCGTGGTGGTAGGCTCGGTCGTACTGGACTGGGTCGAAGTTGACTCGGACAGCTCGATGGTGTTACTCTCTACGTTCTCGGAAGTCGTTGCGTCGGTGGTACTCGGGACGACGGTCGTTTCAGCGGTGGTCGCCGGGGATTCTGTCGAAAGCGTGGTCGGCACTCTGCCGTAGAGCTCGGTGCTGCCACTCAGGGGCAGGTAGCCGGCGGTGGTGGGGCCAACGAAAGGTTTCGCTATGTTCCCTAGAATCCTCGCCACCGCGGTATCGTCTAACGGTACTGCCGTCGACGTTTCCATGGTGGTGGACTCGGTGGTGGATGGTTCGGATTGCGTGGGCAATGGCGGAGCGCCGGTGGATATCGTGGACGGTTCTGTGCTCGTGGGAACCTGCTCCGTGGTGGAGGACGACTCTGTGATCGTTTGATCGTCGGTGGAGGAAGGTACCGTGCTCGTGGAGGCTTGTTCGGTACTGGAGGACGATTCCGTGCCCGTGGAGGGCTGCTCGGTCGTCGAAAGGTTTTCGGGGGCCGCCGTGGTAGCCACGGGGGTGGTGGAGCTCGCCGGTGGTTCTTCGCCTAATCTCGGGATCAAAGTGCTATCCTGAACCGTGGTTGTGTCTGGGGTCTGTGTTGTATCGCTGGTGGTCGAGACCGCGGGGCTTGTGGTGTCATTGTTAGGATTATTGCCGGTGACGTTAACGACTGGGGCGTTAGAGTCTACCTGGGGAACCCCGTTAACTTGTATCGGCTGCTGTACGCCCTGTAACTGTTCGTTCCTGATGCTAGCGGACTCCACCGCTTGATAGAGGGTCAAGAATCGCGGTTCCCCGGGGCTCGAGACTTCGATCGGTGGTGCCGAACCGGAGTTCTAGAATCAGAAATTTCATGCGTGCAGGGTGCTGTACATGACACGGTGCCAGGTGATCTCCTCGGTACGACGATCTTATTTTCTATGTACAGTTTCGGAGTCCTCGTTGGATCGCGTCGCGTCCCGTCGCGGCGTTACCTCGGCGTATTTACACGGTCGAACAATGGGGGATAACACAAAGTGTCAGGTGTTCGTTCTCTTTACTTATAATATTTCTGCGGACATTAAACCTTTGGACGGCGGACATTTTTCAGCACTTATGGCAGCCACGGCTTTATAGATCCATTCGGATCTTTGCGATTCATTTTCATTCGTATACCGTCAACCCCTTGCACTACAATTGATTTCACAACTTCGCTGATCAGCACCTTTTTCGACCTTAATCATTTCCCCGATAGAACGAGGCAATTGTTGTTTCTTGCATGCTTCCGATTACTTTGATTCCCAGACTTTCATATCAGAAGAACAAAATTTTCGTTGATATTTATTATAAACGAATAGCGGTGATATATCACCGTATGAAATCTTTATCACGAGTCCGACTCGTTTGCACAGTGCAAGGGGTTAATACCTCTTGGTTGGGACCAGAGTTAATTCTTTTCGTTAGTTTCAACATTAATAGTTAATAATTACATACGACTTCCACAAAATTAGAATTAACTCTGGGTCCAAGTGAACCCGGCGCCCGCCATCCGAGGGTTGAACCACGAACGATCCCGGCTCCGCAGGAACCATCGCTTCGATTCACCGACTCGATAGGCTCGATAAATAACCACTGTCCGACAAAATCAAACTTTTGTTCTGGGTTCCTATAGCCACTATGAAATTCTTGTAGAGCTTCACACCCTGAATAAGAATCCGAAAAACGAATTGCTCCATCACCCTCAGTTTTTTAAATAAACGAACTTTTGTAAAAACCCAAAATTTTCGACAAAAATGAGGTATTGCATGAAAAGTACAAACGTTAGAAAGTTCTAATTGGTGTTAAAAGATGGAGGAGATCCCATTGGATCCCTCCATCGGTGTTGATTACCCATAGCCTCGGCCCTGTCGGACAGAGAGAAGCGAGCAGCGAAGCACATGGCGGCAAAACATCGTGTACATGTTGC